AAAAGCAGCAAAAATTAAGAGTAAAAACGTGTTTGGTGAAAAGCCATCAATCATTTAAGATTAAAAAATGACATCAGCAGATAGACCAAAATATAAAGTGGAAATTTTGGTATTTTAAGGACCAAAATGACAATAATTAATATAAGTAACAAACAATAACAAAATCAGGCAAAAGACAATTTTTCCAAATCAGTTTCAATAAAGAATTTATAAAATTTTGACAGAAACTGCAGGTGGAGTTTTGGTCAAAACATGTTTGTTTCTCATTCAGTGGGCGGAAAATCCAGAAATTTTACTCAAGTAAGAGAAGAAATACTTCATAATAGAATTACTGAAGTAAAAGTAAAAAGTACAATGGAGTGAAAATACTTTTTAAAGTACTTTTTTCCCAAAAAAAAGTTACTAGAAAAGTAAGTTAATTGAGTAAATGTATGTAGTTGCAAGCCAACTCTTATTATCTAGATAAAAACATTCATTTCTGCACATTTATGTACCATAAAGCATGAAAACATTTCTGTAGCAACGTTAGTTTAACAAAACCAATTAATATTTACGGAAACATTTTGACCATTTTGGCAGATTCCTCTGTGTTCTGCAACAGAGTTGAACTTTTACACATTTTCTTTCATTAAAACCACAAACTTTGATGTATTTAATTTGGATTTTATGTGTTAGACATAAAAGTAGCACATATGTGTTTTGTTCATCTGAATATGTAGAGCATAAACTGACAGGTTTAGGATCACAGCAAAAGGCGGCTCTACATAAGGAAGTGGAGCTGAATGCAAAAGCATGCCACACTTTTCAGTTTGAAAATATTAGAGTAACATTTTATTTCCGCAAAGTTTTTCTGCTCTACTTCTCGTTATCTTCCAACTGCCATCCATCCATCTATCTATCCAGTTTTCCATTTTGCTAGCTATCACGCTACCTAGCTACGCTGCTATCTAGCCAGCTAGCTGTAGCTGTTTATCCGCCCACTGTGTGTCTTTAAGTACATACATACATACAGTACATAATCTTGCAGGCACTTAATAAACTGATTTGCGGTTTTCTCCCCCTGCGTGTTCAAAGCAGCTCGTTGCTTTCAGCAGCAGGGTGGATGTTTCTTATGAGCTGAAAAACCAACATTTTCCTCTTAAAGGGGCTTTTAGGGAAACCACGGCTGCGCCGACCACAGACGGCCTTCTGAAGCTGTTAAAAACAGCGGCTCACCTCTCTGCTTCCTAATCTTTCCATCCCTGTAAACGAACCACTTCCTTTCTCATCCAATAGCCTTCGCTTTGTCTCTCTTTACCTGTTTGCCGTGGTCATCGGTCCACCTCGGCCTCCTGTCAGGAGTCTGCGGCTCTGACTGCCTTCGCCGGGTGTCATGCTTTCTCAGGCGCATCTTGACGGCACATGTAGGGAAAATATTTCTTGTATTTGAAAACAGATCACAGCCCGACACGGGGAGCAATAAATTTTCCGTCTCTGGTCAACTTCCCTCCCAAATCCGTCTTCCTGTCAGTTAAAAATCCCAGACAAAGTGCGACTCCAGCTTCGCCCTCGCAGAGGTCGGCAGAAACATTTCTGCTCATAAAATAAGTCATCAACACTGCAGCTTTGTGGGAACTCTGTGGTTGCCTTTAATTATGAATACACTTTAAGCAGATCTGATTTATAACAAACTTTCTTTTTATTTAGGGAATCTCTGTGGGCTTTTATTGCTCCCGGATCCTAGAAATGATTCAAGAGTTTTCTGTGGTTATGGATTGTGTTTTACTGAGTACTGCAAATAAATTGACTATAATTACCAAGTAGCAGCAGGTAAAAGTGTTTGTATAGTTCTAGGTTCTTAAAAAGCAGAAATCAGCAGAAAAAAATGAATTTCATAGTAAACATATTTGAAACAAACGTCAGTTGTTTGTTTAATCTCAACCAATAACAGGTTTTATTCCCAGGATTGTCCTGCAGCTCCATTCAGAGTAAATACCATGTTGGGATAGCGCTTTAGCATTAGCTTCCTCTAAATACCATGTTGGGATAGCGCTTTAGCATTAGCTTAATCTAAATACCGTGTTGGGATAGCGCTTTAGCATTAGCTTCCTCTAAATACCGTGTTGGATAGCGCTTTAGCATTAGCTTCCTTTAAAAACCATGTTGGGATAGCGCCTTAGCATTAGCTTCCTTTAAAAACCGTGTTGGGATAGCGCCTTAGCATTAGCTTCCTCTAAAAACCGTGTTGGAGTTTCGTGTTTGTCAGGTTTTTATGTCTCGGCTGAAGATACTGACACTGTGAGCCTCTGTGTGATTTCCTTAAATGGGAGGCTGGGACTTAATTTTAGTTCAGTTTTTCATTTGGTAAAATATGAACTCTTTTTGCCTCTATGACTTTAAAACCCACTAAATTAAATTAAAGTTTGTGGTTTGAAAGTGACAGAATGTGGGGAGGTTTGGTGATGAAAGGCTCCGTAAGGTGAAAGCAGTTCCAGCTTCTCTTGCGCTACCCCAGTTTAACCTGTGAATAATGAGTCGGCGGTGCCAGAAACTGCCGGCTCACATCCGCAGGTTTTCTCACCCAAAGCACCTTTATGAAAAATAAACCCAACCACAAACGCTCCTATCAGCACTTTCCTCTTTCCTTTGGTGCTAAAGTGCAAACGTGCGTCAAACTGATAGTGCCGTTTCAAATCAACCTGTCGGAGTCTTGAGAACCGGTTTGTCCTCATATTCCACCTTGCTCAGTGTTTCTTCTCCTGTTCTCTTCTGGATCTGGTTCTGTTGATCCACTAAGCTGCTGTCAGATTCAGGGCCAACCGTTTGGGCTCGGCCGCAGAGGTCTGCGCATTCCTCCGCTGGGCGTTCGGCTTCTCTCCTCGTAGCGTCTCTGTTAGGTGGAAAGGTTGGGAGTATTTCACTTGGATGGACCCGGATTCCCTCTGGATCCGCTGGCTTTGACTCTTTCCAAAGCTCTGATGTTTTATTGGAAGTGGAGTTCAGGTGTATTGTGGTGAGACTGAAATGTTTGGAGGGAGGCTGGGATCGGGTTTAGCCGTGGTTGGGGTTCCGGCCAGGGAACTTCTCACACACACCAAACACCGACACACACACCGACACACACACCGAACCTCTGAGGAGGCTTTAAAAATTTGTCAGCGCTCCCCCCCAGCTAATGACGCCCTCAGCTGTGAGAGCTGACCCCCTCCTGCCCTCCAGGCTCCCGCTCCTCCCCCAGCCGTGCCTCACTCCTTAATGAATGCCAACTGAGGCGCTGCGAGAATCCCAAACCTCTAGCATGTTTCCTCTCAGAGCCCGAAAACTGGGGGATCCTCATCGCCCCTGTGGAGGCGGACATCTTAAAGCGGAACCATGAATCCGAATACATCAACCCCTCTAGTTAGGGCTGTTAGTCATGAAAACCCATGATAACTCATGAAAACTCATGAAAACTCATGATAACTCATGAAAACTCATGAAAACTCATGATAACTCATGATAACTCATGATAACTCATGATAACTCATGATAACTCATGATAACTCATGATAACTCATGTTCCTATTTTCTTGAGGATAAAACTGAAGCCTGTGTTTTACAGAAGGATCCTTGTTTTGAGCTTTTATTTTTTTTTCTTGAATCAGACATAAATATAGTTGACACCTGATGTGAGATGAAACAGAAGTGGGGACTTGAGTCGTTAAAGGTGAACTATTCTGCTTCCTTGATCAGGTTAGGATGTAAGCTAAGCAAAACATGTTAAATACATTTTATTTACTCAAAATAATTCTTAGTCTGTTCAGTTCTGCCCATCTTGGGTTTTAGGGCATCTTGTCACTTTAAATCCAAATGAACAGTATCTGCTGATTTGTGACGTTACATTCAAGAGTTTTTTTAAAAGTCAACTGAGAATAAAGTGGAAATAATGAAATCATAATATTATGGCATTTTTCTCATAATAATATATTTTTACAGCATCCTTCTTGCATTAGTTCAACTTTATTCTCATAATTCCGACTTTATTCTTGTAATATGATTTTATTCTGGTAAAACAAAAACAATTAGTATGACCCTCCTACTCTGTTATATATCTAAATAAAAACAGAGGAAATATTTAATTCAAAATGTTTCAAACTCTTCCAATAGAAACATTTCATGTCAAACTGAACAGATAAACTCGTGTTTGGCTGGAAACACGTTTCTTCTGCAGGTTCTTTTTCTGCTACTGATTGTTGAAAGGTTTCATATGCAGTGACCCCTGCTGTTTAAAATGAGAACCACAGTGAAAGTCATGTTCCCCACTCACCAGGTGAAGATCCTCCGAACCCTGGAGCTTCAGTCTTTGTCTCAGCCGTTTCTCTCCCTCCTCACCCAAAGCCAAATACAACCTCTCAGCGACTTCTGTTTTCCTAATCTGTGAACTCTGACAGAGACGCCCTCGCTTGAAAGAAAGACATCTCAGCATGGGGTGATGTCCTGGAGTCAGGGAGAAGCTGAAATAACGTTCCCTGGAATGTCTGCGTTGAGGCCACCAGACCACCCTGCCATCTCGCAGTTTCCTTCTCTGTGTTGCTACGTCTGTTAGCAACAGACACGCCTCGCCCACCTTCACTAATTGGGCCGACTAAAAGAAACACCCAGTTGTCCTCGTGGCAAGTTTTTACATCTGTAAAATTCACATTTTGTAGATTTTCTATTAGGGATTCACCAGCTGCAGTTTTCTGGTCGATCGCTGGTTTTACGCTGTATGCTCTGTACAATGGCTGCTGGAAAAGACAGTGTTTTGTTGTTGATTTTCCATCCAGAAACTACTTGCTGCATTCTTGCTGGTTGTACAGGAGGCTCCACTTCTGCTTTTCAAAGATTTGCGGTTGCATAATTGCGCATCTGTTTGCAGCCATTTTCATGTGTGAGTGTAAACTTTGAGTTGGGGGGCGTGGCCAGCAGCAGCTCATTTGCATTTAAAGGGACAGGACGCTTTAAAACAGCTGGAAATAGGCAGACCTGAGGAGACTAGAAGCTCATTATCTAAGAATGATTTTATGCAAAAAACAGTGATGAACATGTTTTGAATAGGCCATACAGAGATCCTAAACTGTTCAGGAAAACATTATTGGGTCACCTTTAAATGCCATTGTGTGTGTCGCTGCGGTAATGTGGTCACATGTTAGCACAACAACATTCTCACCGTTGATCACCAGAGGAACGTCGTGGAGACAGAGAGGCAGGTTAGTTCGCATGTCGCTGAACTCCCAGCTGCCGCAGCAGCTCCTCGTTTCCAGAGGTTGGAGTCGCAGCCGACTCTGAAGGTGCAGCACCTGCAATGGGAAGCAGCCAGAAGGGGTCACTGTTGTTGTCATTCCTCCACTGAATAAAGTTTATTTTAACCATTTGTCTTATGGTTGTGACTTTACAGTGAGAAAAAGATTATTTTTTAAGAGTGCAGCAATAAACTGAGATCATATTCAGTTGTTTTGTTTTTGTTTTCACAGACAAAGGTTGTGTGGTTCATAATACAACAACTGTTTCAGAATAACGTCACTGTTTTATTCACTGACCCAATAATGATCGATATTATTTTCAGCAGTAAAATGTTTACTTTCTTATTTTAAAAAGGAAACAAATTATTTAGTTATTTAAAGTATTTCTAATATTATGTAAGAAAAACAATGGCATAAAGAAAAATCAGTAGAACGTGCAAAACTTTTTACATAATTAATCGTCAGAATTATCTATAGAATAATCAATGACTTAAATAAATTGTACGTTGAGGTCTTACTGTAGAGCAGGTGTCAAACTCAAGGCCCGAGGGCCAAATTTGGTCCACTGTAGCTTCTTATGTGGCCCTCCAGACTCTAAAGAGAAACAAAAATAGAGACTTCAAGGTAAATTTCCATCCTGCCCTGTTACATCTCCAGGTTATCGAGTTTTTGCAATCCCGCCGCACTTTTTCGCGCTGATGCATAACTGTGAGTTTATAGCAAATTCTCCGCAGAAATTATCAAAAACTTTTGGGTCAAAGTGAAGCTAACTCCCACCTGCAGGTGGCAGTATTTCTTGATTCTGCTCCACTGCTGCCTCAAAATTACTTACAGTCTGTGATCGAGTAACAAAAACTCACATTTATCGTCAAACATATTTCTTGCATATATTCATAAAATCAGTGATTTTTGTTTGCTACTGTGTTTCTGGCGGCCCTTTAAGAACATTCGTGATCTTGATGCTCCTGCAGATCTGAGCTGTAACACAGAGCAGGTTTCTGTTTGGGGGGAACTGCTAACACTTTCTGCTCATGTCTGTGTTAGCGGGCAGCTGAGAGGGTTTCAGCAGACGCCCTCTCTCTGATTGGCCTTCTCGCTGCTCTGCCAGATGCGCCGCGCGGCACCAGACCCTGGAAGATCCTTCAGCTGAGCCGCACACGGACTGCACCATATTTAGTCATCAGGCCCAGCGCCGTCCGTCTCAATCTGTCCCTCCGCCGTTTCTCCATGTCTGATCTGCTTCTCTTTAGTTCATTACTTGTCACTTTTGCTGCCTGCCATTTATCTTTCATGCTCCTGTTTTCCTTCACCTCATCTAATTTCTCTCTCCTCTTTTCCGTTTATTGTCTCCGTCACTGTGATTGGCCTTTTCTCCACATGTAGACGTTGGTAATCAGAAGCCAACAAATCGATCAGTTTCGTGTCCATAATCTTCCCAGACACCTCCAGCTTCACCACAGCTGTTTTCTTTACGGAGTGCTTTCCCTGACAAACACTCAGTTAAACTCAGATATTACTTTAAATACTCCTACAGGTTTTATTCTTTGCGTTGTCATTTGTAAAGTTACACAGTGATTTATCTACTGTTTCTATAAATAACTTAAATAAAAAAATGCTACATTAATGTTTTTGGTTTCAAAATCACCTAGTGAGCCCAGGTCGTCGTTACCTAGCAACACAGCCAAACCTTCCCTGTTACCTAGCAACCCCAGCAGAGCTCCAGCACATTTAGTCAGCCGGTTTAGTGCTGTACAATGGCTGCTTGCTTATTGGTTGAGCAGGAGGCTCCATAGTTGCGTTTCTGTTTGCAACCGTTTTCACTTGCAAATGTAAATGTTGAGTTTGGGGGTGGGGGGGGCGTGGCCAGCAGCAGCTTATTTGGATTTAAAGTGACAGGACGCTTAGATAACAGATTAAAATCTCATCTAATGATTTTGTACAAAAATGTAATGAATACATCTTGTGAAGCCTGTAAGCTGATCCTAAACTGTTCAAGGAAGCATAATAGTTCACCTTGAAGGTTGTCTTTGACTTTATGCTGAAACATTTTAAGTGGAAAGTGTTACAAAAAAGTATTTCATTTAAATGAGTTTAGTAGATGAGCAGCAGATGACATGGAAGCAGCTGTACTCCTGAGAACGGCCCAACGGCTGGGCTCTTAAGAGGGGTCCCATTTACCCGACCACTTGCTTCTTTATTGGGGGTTTCTGGCTTTGGACCCTTTGCACAAGAAAAGAACTTCTGTTTCTTTCTATTTTGGACTTAAACCCCTTAAAGCCTCGACTGAACTGGATACGGAGGCGGCCTTTTGTTGCACCGCCATGAAGAGGGATGCTGCAGGAAAGGAGACTGTGGGGGTATGAAGAGGTGGCTGGGCTTCATTGTAATTTAATAAACACCTTCAAAAGAGCATTGCAGAAACTTCTCCACTCCTCAGCAGCTTTTAGTGAAATCTTCCAGATTTGATAAAAAACGGGGGGATTAGGGAAGGAAAAGCTTCAGGCGATTCATACGTCTTTCTCTTAGCCGGGGCTTTTTCTCCCAGCACCACCCAAATCTTTCTCTCTCTGGGCGGAGCGGCCTCTCGCCTGGCTGTGGGCGTTTCAGTGCAGGTATCCGTCTGCACCCAGAGCCTTAAAGGCTTCAGCAGAGCGCCGTGGCCTGAAAGCCCCTCATGTGGGGAACAGTCTTCAATAACTATCACTTCTGGGGAATTTTCTGGTTCGACGACAGAAGATATCGCCGACTTTAGAAAAGGTCATCTGCTCAAAAACTGAGCAGCAGCGGCTGATTGCACTTAAAAATGACTTTTTGAAGAGACTTAAAGGATGGATGTTTATTACAATAAGAATTGTTCCAAGTTGAAGTTATTGTTTGGGCTGTTGGAATAATGTGGATCAAAGCCTGAAAAGGTTGATGTGCATTTTATTTTATGCAGTGGATGATTGGCATTTGATAAATCAAGTCTATTGTAATAGTTCAAACATCAAATATGCATTAATATCCTTATCTCCATTTTTGTGGGTTCAGCCAATCAGCTCCATAGAAAATCAACGGCGCTCCTGGATTGGCTGCAGTAACTCGTCAAGTCGCTTTGCAACCAGCTGCACATTTACTGGAAAAGAGGAAAACTTTTTAATCGTAAACAGAACCAACATGTCTGTATGATCCCGGCTGCTGACCCAGGAAAGCTCAGAAACTCACTTTCATTTTAGCTTCTGTCACGTAGATATTTTACCCCTCAGAAAGTTCCTCCAGTCATTTTGTTTCTTCACGTTTCAATTTGAAAACTGGCTTTAACTAAGACTTCTCGTTGTGAGACGACGCTGCAGTCCAGAGCTGTGGAAGCCACTCTTCTTCTCTTTTGTCAAGACTTTCCCTTTCAGCCGAGGTTCGACCCGAGTCGCACGCAGTTCGCAGCTTTGCACTCCCACATGGGGATTATGCGGGTGACTTCTGCCGTGCTTTTCAAGCCTGACCAGAAGGTGGGGGCAGTTTTGACCTGAATAGCAGAAATGAATGAGCGAGAGGCATTGAAATTCAAGATGCAGTCACTTGCAGCCTCTAATGTCTCTCTTTAAATGGTCACTTCCTTTCACTTGGGGCCTCATTTAACTGTCTGATCCTTGACAAGCTTTTAGTCAACGAAAACATTCACTCTGGCACTAGAGATTCATTTGAAGCTCCTTTATAAGGACAAGCTTAATGTGGGTTTAAAGACGTAGCTTTGTTTTATGTGTCACTTTCCAGCTTCTGTCCTGTTATGGTAAAGTTTGCCTGTGACACTGACCTTTCTGCCTGTTTCTCTCTTACAGGAAGGACTGGAGTGAAGGGCCACTGAGCTCAGACACTCTCCTTTCACTGAGTGAAAAACTCACAGCGCAGAAACACACGGACGCACCTTTCAGCGTTCTGCACAGCCCAAAGTCTGCAGGCGTCAACTCGGCCCTTTGAGCAGGATGAGGGAACCCCTGAGCTGCCCGCTGGGCTTGTTCTTCCTGCTAACTTCAGTCTCCACTCACAGTGCCACCAACCCTTTTGCAGGACAGCAGACGTCCTTGGACCCTTGCTATGATGAGGCCGGAGCTGCAAGGCGGTGCATCCCTGAGTTTATCAATGCCGCCTTTGGTAAGGAGGTGACCGTGTCCAGCGTCTGCGGCCGGCCTCCTTCCCGCTCCTGCAGTGTCGTTGAGCGCAGCGACGATCGCCCCTCTGTCCGCGCGTGTCAGATCTGCGATGCAGCCGACCCCCGGCGTGCCCACCCGGCCTCCTACCTTACAGACCTCAACTCAGCCCACAACCTCACCTGCTGGCAGTCGGAGAATCTGAACACGTCGCCCCACAACGTGACTCTCACCCTCTCTTTGGGGAAGAAGTTTGAGATCACGTACGTCAGTCTGCAGTTCTGCTCGCCCCGACCCGAATCCCTGGCGATATACAAAAGCATGGACTATGGCAAGACTTGGATGCCGTATCAGTTTTACTCGTCACAGTGCAGACGCATGTACAACAGGCCCAACAAAGCAACGATTACCAAACAGAACGAGCAGGAGGCGCTGTGCGCGGACGGCCACACTGAGATGTACCCTCTCTCTGGAGGACTTATCGCTTTCAGCACTCTGGACGGACGCCCCTCCGGCAAAGACTTCGACAACAGCCCCGTCCTCCAGGACTGGGTCACAGTCACTGATATTCGTGTCGTCTTCAGTCGGCCCCAGCTCCCCAGAGAGCTAGCGCTGGGCTCTGGAAGCAGCGTTGGAGGAAGGGACGACGACCCGATGGCGGTAACGTCAACGTTACCAACCTACTTCTATGCAGTGGGAGACTTCCAGGTCGGCGGAAGGTGCAAATGCAACGGGCACGCCTCGCGATGCCTGAAAGACAAGGAGGGGAAGCTGGTGTGTGACTGCAAACACAACACAGAGGGGCCTGAATGCGACCGGTGCAAACCCTTTCACTACGACCGGCCGTGGCAGAGAGCCAACGCTCGAGAGGCCAACGAGTGTCTGCGTAAGTCCCTCTGCTTTTCTTCATTAGTAGGCAACGCCGTCTGTGCT